CCTTAGCCAGGGCAATCGAGCAACAACAAACAAGAAGTTCAAGGGGACATGGTAGAGCAATCATGTCAAGATTGACTTTGATTTTATAGAGACATATCTGTATCAAGATAAAAATGAAAGATAACATCTCCACCACTCCTTCTTTAAAGCAGAACACAATTGTCACAGAAAGTTGCTGCCGGATACTATCACAGCCAAAGGGAGAAACAAATTATGATAACACGTACTCTTACACAAATTGTGCTTTCTTTCACTATACATACCCAAATTTTATGGAAATCCAGAGTTTAATTCTGAGACAGACAAGAGGACACTTCAAATGTTCATGTAAAATCTAACGTTTTTTGTTCATGAAACACACTGAAAGCAGAGCCCTTGGATCTTAAAAGTTAAAAGTTATTACATCACTTAGCGTCACAGTGCACAGACAGCTCACCAATCAACCATTGCAGGACCGTGATGCACAGATAGCACCCCAGAAGTCATGTCTTCAAACACAATACACTTTTAACAATCACAGAGAAACCATTCTCTTAAAACTATATTCAGCATTTAACATAAATTTTATTTGACAAGTTCCAATTTTAAGTGAGCATTATGGAAAATTAAAAATAGCTAACAAAATGCATAAACAAATTTTTAAAAAAGGTTGTCACCCTACTAAATTGATGCACTAAGGTGCAAGGTAAGTGTTGTTTTAAATGTTTCAGTCTAACATATCAGTCAAACAATGTCAAAATATACAAACATGGAAAAATCTCCAACTTGTTTTTCTATTCTACTTTTCAAATGTTCTCCTATTTACTCAAGTACATTCCCCTCCCAAAATGGGGTTCATGTTTTTCACTAGTCCCAACTGCTTAAAATATTTTAGATTTTGGCTTCAATAGCAAGTCTGTAATTGTTTACCACTTGGGATGAATCTCTCTGAAATTCCATTGATGATATGTATCATTCACATCACAGGGGGCAAGAATTAGTTGCATGGTCTGAGGATGAACTGCCATACACTTTTTGTGTCCAGTATGAAGCATGGTGCGAGTGGTCTGGAGAAAAAAAAATTGTTGCTAAGTATTTTGACTGGATTTAAGAACATAGAAATTGTTGCATTGAACATATCAATTTTACCTCATCATACTGCCATGGACCATCCACAGTGCCTAGTCTACAAAAGATGAGTTTCACACCTGATGAGTCAGCGTCAATACATCTTTCACCTACGCCTAATTGACCTTTGGCATTCAGACGTATTAGCTGAATTTAAAAACAGTGCAGATTTCAATTAAACATTATAAATGAAAGCCGTCAGTATCCAGATCCAATTCAATAATTTGAAGAGATTTCATACCTGGTTGTTACCCCCACCATGACAGTGTGAAAGACCCATCATACTTGGTGGTCCATGGCCCATTGTGTCAAGACAATTTCCAGTTGACCTGTGCCTCAGCTAAAAACAGAAAGAATAATATTTGACAGTAAATCAGAATTAATACATCCCATAAGATGCTATTACACTTAATAATATGTCAAATAGCTACGTTATTGAGTTAAGTTCATACCTCTCCCCAATAAAGATTAGGTGGAAGTTCTGGGTATTTGTCAAGAACATCATAAGCGACATTCTTCATAAACCAAGAAAAGTCTTTGCATTTTAATTTTTCTTTCAATTTTAATTGCTCTGAAATGTCACCCATATCAAGGTATCTAGCCAAAGGTTCTCTGGTGTAGAAGTATTCCTTGTACTTCTCATCAAACCATGTTTCAATCACTCGTTTGTAATTCTGAAAGAACATAGAAGCACATATTATGTTGGATACATCGACCCTTTTTTACAATAAAATCTCAGTACTCTGATTATAAACTAACAATGGTGATAAGAGGTCCCTTCTTGCGCTCAGCAAGCTTTCCAAAATTGTAAGGCATAAATCCTCTGTAGACATGGCCTACTCTGGAACAGGGCACCCATTCAATACTTCCACCACACTGCCATATCTTGAAAGATAGTTCAAAATTTTCCCCTCCCCAGACCAAGAGGCCAGGGTCATAAGCTCCAATGGACAAGAAGAATTTTCGATCAATGGCAAATAATCCACCAGCATGAGTAGGAGATCTAAGGAGAATACATAGCTCATAAATTGTTTACAAAAGTGAAAATAAAAACAAAAATTAAAAAACATAAAAATGTTTAAATACTTGTAAGGTTCGCTGTTGTGCTGTCGGGTATGAGCTTCTCTAGGTGGTACTTCATTTTCTTTATAAAGCATACCCCATTCAAAAATACCTCGATAATGGTGGCCATCTTGATAAACTGGCCGGTACTCAAATGATTTGTGGTCAATACCATCTATTACTGGCACTGTCATGATAGTCCTGATACAATTAAAACACAAGATCACTTTTTTGAAAAAAGAAGATACAAAAAGTGTGGGATATGTTGGAGTGAACCTTGAAAGACTTACCTGTCACGATAAATGGGTGCTAGAAGTGGAACAAGCCAATTTGTATTCACTTCACAATGAGCATCCAAGAAAACAATGACTTCCCCATAAGCTTCTTTGGCTCCACGAGATCTTGTGCGAATTAAACCTTCTCTCTCTTTATTTCTGATAAGTCTCACTTTTCCGTTAAATTGGGTGATATATTCATCCAATTTTCCTTTAAGATCCTCTTAAAACAGAAAGAATGGAAATGACAAAATTGATTAACTAAGTAAAAACAAAAGGAACAGTCAAACTCAGAAATATCTTACCCTTATCGCTGTAATCGTCAACTAGTAAAATTTCCTTTAAAAATTGAGGGGGTGAACGATTAATAACAGAATGGACAGTTCTCATAAGAACTGACCAGCCCTCATTGTGAAATACAATGATTACACTTGCTTGAGGAAGATCTTCAGGGTAATTCCAATGCTTGCATCTACAAAAGAGAAGAAACAATAAAAACTTTGCATCCATTTTTAGAAGCTTATGATAGTTTCTAAACATCTAAAGACTAAATACTTGAGAAAACTTACTCAGATAATCTTGTGTCAGGAATATTTCTATCCAATGATATCTCATTGGATAAGGCAATATTCATACCATACTCTGACAAAGACTGTGCCGCATCATTTTCCTGGTCTTCTCGTAATTTATAAGGAACACCTCCTTCTCCAGGCCCAGTCCTTTTGGGAATATTTTTGGGCTCAAAGTTACCTAGCTCATCAACAAATTTTACTGTGTTCTGTAAAAGTACAAAACGGTTACTTCGGCAGCCGTGCTCAAAAAGAACAACATCAACAGTCCGATATGTAAGGATGCTTAAAACTTATGAATATCAAGGATGTTTGCTCACAGTTCTTTTTGGCTTTGAAAGACCAAGAGCTTGAGATACTTCATTCTTGTTGTCTCTGGTATAAGTTGCTAGAAGATAGATTAAGGGTAATAGACATGCAGCTCCCAAAACAACCTTCACCACTCGGTTTTTTCTTAGTTGAATGATCCTCATTTTGAAGAAGATAGAAATGTCATTTCACTATCCACTGAAACAAAATAAAACCAGAAAACCATGGTTAATGTGAATCAAATGGAATGACCGGGAGTTCAACCAACCTCCGACACAGGTAAGAAATCATCAGGTAATTAAACAATACACATATTTTCAGTGACAACGAGGAGGAAGTCAAAAAGGTCGATCAATTTGAACATAAATATTACACATTTCAGTCAGGTACAACTATTGATTCACTACCTTTCTCGAGGATTTAACCTGCCGACGTGTCTAAATTTGCAAATCAACAACAACTGTCAAAGTTAGTTCAGCTGGCTGAGGGCTAGTTCCACTATAAGGAACAAAGCAGACGACATTGGGCATTATGAAGACCAAAGTCTGACCACCACACCACAACAACCGGTCGGTGTTAACCCTAACTGAACGCCATGATGAAAATGTTAAATGGTTCGGTACAGGGTTGTTTACAATGTTAATTCTAGATTTTAATAAAATTTGCCGATTATGTCTGACAAAAGGAGAAAAAATGGTACCAATTTTCAACGACAGCAAGAGAAGTGGGCCTAATATCAGCAGCCGAATTGAAAACTGCACTTGTCTGAAGGTTTGTTATTCTTAGGTTATATCTTCAAACACAAACTTTTTGCATTTTGAAATTGTATTGCTTAGTGTCCTTAGTTTTTACATGGATTTCTCAGAAAATGTATTTTCTTGTAGGACACTGGTAATTTTTTGTTGACACCTTCATTACATATAAGTCTAAATAAGCTTTTAATCTCAGCCTATTCCTCTATTCTTTTTATTCGTGATATATTTATGTTTGGTGTTTCGTTTGCAGCTTAAAGAAAGTGACGGTCTCCCAGGTGCATTATGTACTGAATGTCTTTCAAAGCTTGACCTCATAAAGGCTTTCCAGGATCAGTGTGAACGTTCAGATATAGTCCTGCGAGAGTTCCTTAAAAACAAAGACGCTAAACAGGTCTGTATTTATAATGAAAACTACATTTCCAGAAATGCATTTTATTTCTCATGCTCTTATTTGCATTGTTTTTGTTCTTTTTAGCAGATTCAAAGTCTTCAAAAGCTAAGTAAAGGAAGTGAAATGAATAATGGAGAAGAGTTCGTCAAATCAGTTGAGCAAATTGGACAAAACTTGTTAGACACCTCTATGCAAATACCTGTTCAAAATATTTCTCAGGTTCCTATTCACAATCTCTCCCAGATTTCTGTTCAAAACCTTACTCAAATTCAAAATCTTGTACAAATCCCAGTACAGAATCTAGTACAAATTCCTATTCAAAACTTTGTTTTGAGTCCTGTTGAAAATCTTGTTGCAAGTCCCTTGCAAGACTTCACACAGAGCTCTGTCGATGGACTCATACAAAGTCCTGGACAAGACCTTTCTGTACAAGATTTTGTTCAAGTCCCTGTACAGGACCTTTTTCAAAGCCCATTACAAGACCTGCAAAGTTCTGTGCAAACCTATGTACCAGGGGATGTGCAAAACTATGTACAAAGCCCTGTGCAAAACCAAATTTCCCTTCAAAACTGTGGAGACCTATCAAACGAACTTCAGTGGAACGAATGCTTAACTAGTGAGACTAATATTACTGTCACCAAATCATTGAATCAAGAGACAGTACCCACTAAAAAGCAATTGAAAACTTCCTCCAAAATACCTTCCAAAAATAAACCCTCATTAACTGTCAAAAGTGTTAAAAGCGATGAAGATGAGGGGGAGGATGACTACACGTGGCCTGGTAGTCTCTCTGATGAAGATTCTAGCAGGTAAGATAAAATATTCCCTGTTTAGAGTAATAAACTGTAACCGCATATTTGTTAATTTTCTGTCTCTCCCTTTCTACCTTTCCAGACCAAATGGGGATAGTGCTTGCAATAAAAGAAGGAAAAAACAATCAATTTCGTACGAGTGTGAATATTGTGGTCGAACTTTTTCAAGATCCAATCATTTAATGCAACATGAGCTAACCCATACCAAAGAAAAACCTTTCCATTGTTCCTATTGCGGGAAAGGATTTTGGTATAAAAATTCTCTTATTGGTCACATCAAACAAACTCATACAGGAGATGTAAATTATACGTGTGAGGAATGTGGAAGAGGATTTTTCCAGCGTTCTGAGTATATGAGACACAAACCTATTCACTCAAGTGAAACTCCATTCAAATGTGATGAGTGTGACATGAGTTTTAAACTCATTAAAAATCTTCGGAGACATCAGAAGGTAAATTGAAACTATGGCCATAATTTTATGTCTTTTCCTCTGCTGTGTTTCACTTTTTCTTTCTATTTTAGGTGCATTCTGGCACTCGCACTCATACCTGTCAGTATTGTGGTAAATCATTCCGTATGCGCCAAACTTTACGAGTCCACCTTATTCTTCATTCTGGGGAAAAACCATATAAATGTGAACATTGCGGCAGAGGGTTTTCACAATCTGCTCCACTGAAGGCTCATGTTCGAATGCACACAGGAGAAAAACCATATGTTTGCAAAATGTGTGGAGAGTCCTTTCAAACAGGCAATTCTTTAAAAGCACATGTTTTCAAACATACTGGTATTCATCCAAATAGCTGCAAAGAATGTTCTTTAGTTTTTAAAAGGAAAAAGGACCTTGTAGAACATAGAAACAATGTGCACGATGGAGCTGAAACAGATCTTGTACAAGTTACACCTCAGATACCATTGCTGAGGTGTAAGTCTGATAGAAACAAGCAAGTGCATTCTCTTCAGAATACTGATTCTAATGAGAGTGATGATGACCCAGATGACCCTGATTCATTGTCAGAGGACTCTCAGTCTAGTGATTCAATTACTCAGCATGAAGTAGTTAAACATCGATTGCCACCTATAGTTGAACTTTCGTCACCTGTCTCTTCTCGCTTGATGTCACCACCATTAATTGGGTCTCCATCCGAGACAGACGAGCTAATTTCTTCTACCAGTTTATCTTATGCTTAATATTCTTATATTTCCACTTTAGTGGAAGGCTTATAGCTGTCTCAAAAGAGTAGTTGAAGAAGTACTGCTAGGACATGTATGTTGTTTTGGAAGAAAAACTTTTGAGAGGGAACCATGTAATGTATCTTTGCCATTGTATCCATCCCATCAATTTTCTTGGCATGTGTTTTCAGTCCAAGTTTATATTTGTGATAATATTTTTGTTGTGTCTGATCTCATCTGATTATTTAATTTTTTTCTACCAAATTTCAATTTTTATCAAGTATTGATACAGTATTTGTTTGATTCCTTCTGACTGTTCGTTTGAAGTCCAGGTTACCATTTTTACTGGTAATTTTGATTTTTTTGAATTTTTACTG